CTCTTGTATATAGGGAGAAACACGATTAGGGAATCTTTGGGTTTGCAAAGTGAAGAGGGAAGAGTGGCAGCAGGCCCAGAGCCCCGGGGGAGCCTGCAACAGTCTGGACTGAGGGCTTGAAGGAAGGCTGGGACGGTCAGAACAGAGGGTGAGCTCCTCAAACCGGCTCGGATTTGGGAAATGAAGACGAGGTTCTGTAACTTGCTCAGAGTTGGGGACAGATTCTATAGAGGGTGGAACACCGAGAACAGGATCCCGGCCAAGGATCCTCTCTCCAGGGCGTGCACCATTCTTCTCCTTCGCCTCTCCCTCCTCCACGACCACCCAGGTGAAACACCAGGGAGGAACATTTAGGGAGAAGGGATATTCTGATTACTTGCTTACTTCAGTGATCCTCTGATCAGTACAAATGGGGACTTTCCAGGAAAGTTCTGATTCAGCACGCTCACACCCAAGCCCCGCCTTCCACCCTGAGGCAGCTGGGCAACCTGTAAGGCGCCGTCCCCCAGCACCGGCAACGGCCACTGTGGCTGCGCGCCGCCCTGCGAAAGCAAGGCCGCACCAGCTGCTCCGCAAAGCCCCTCCCTCACCAGCCCTCGCCTCCTCCCGGCAAATGTTGGGTTTGCCATCTGGCCACAAGGTGGCAGCCTTTGCCATGAAATCTGCCTGGAGTTGGGCACGGCGCCTCAAAGGGATTTAGGGAAGTCGTTGGGCAGCAAGAGACTGCGAGGAGAGCCCTGGGTTCCTGAAAGAGGCCCCTGGAATCGGTTCCAGGAACAAGATTCCAAAGAAGACCAGTCCCGGGACCAACCAGACTGGACTGCGAACCTGCCTCCACCATTTGCCCACTGAGTGCATTTCCACCTGGACTTACCTTCCTGAGCCTCACCTTTCCCATTTGTAAAACAGGGACAAAAATAACTGCTGCATGGGATTATTTGGAAAGCCTAATAAAAATAATATATGTAAAGTCCTTGGCAAGGGCCCAGCATTTAACAAATGTGTATTAAATGGTAAGCTATTATTGAAGGAAAATAGTGGAATTTGGGGGTTATCGTCTTTAGATTTTAAAAAAAAGAAATAAAAAAGCAAAACAAAACCAAAAAAAAGCCTTCACTTTCAGTCCCAACCACTCTTTCTAGCTAAGCCTGGGCTTCTTATCTAACCTCCGAAGCCTGGGTTTCTTCCCCTGTGAAATGGAGATGATACTGCTATCGGGCAGAGTTGCTGTTGTAAACACTCAGCCTGCCTCAAGAGGATGTCTACTGATTGGCGACTAACTTTTCTTATTCTCAGCCTTCAGTGGGAGCTGAAGCGTGATCCCAGCCCGAAGCTTGACCTGTTGAAGAGTAAGGAGCTCCACCCACCCCATCCTCCCACTGCAAGAGCTGCATAAAGCCCTGGGGCCTTGCTCTCCTAGAAGGCTCCAGGGCAGAGAGGACAGAAGAAGCAATGCCTAGACCCTCTTAGGGACAGTCTACCCAGTAGCTGCTCTTCCAGAGATGATCCCTGTCCCCGAACTGAGCCCAATTCTAGGGACAGTAAAAGGGATGTCCTTACACTCATGCATTCATAAAACACTTCTACCCAATTAATTGCTGTTATTTGAACTTCCCAGCCACTCTGTGAAACAGTGTGAAAATTGAGGCTTAGAGAGGCCACACTGCGGATCAGGAACAGGCCCCTCCCAGGTGGCTGGGAATCTTCGCTTCTCAGTCAGCTCAGGCTGTTTCCATTCCCAGGCCACTCCCTCAACAATCCCTTATAGTCTTATCTCGGCCACATACATATAGATTTTGTTCTCAGGCTAGAGCCTTTGGCCAGAAGGAATCTGCCCCACCGGTTGTTAGTCAACCACGTGAAACATGTATTACGTAGAATGCTGCAGTGAAGATGGAGAATGTGAACACAGGCTGGCTTCTGCCCCCAGGCAGCATCTCTGTATTAATCAGGAGACTTGCAGGGGTCAGTGACAGAATCCTAATGCAAAGCAAAAACCAAGATATCCAAAGGCAGGACTGGCTTCAGATGTGGTCAGATCCAGGGGCACAAAGATGTTCACAAGGTACAGTCTTTGCTCCACCTCTCAATGATGCTTCCCTTGGGATGTGGCCTTATTTTCACACTGATTTATTCCATATGTAGGAAAGATGGTTGCCAACAGGCCCAAACCTATATCCTTGCAGCACCCATGGGAAGGGCAAAGAGACCCTCCCTCTATCAACAGAAGACCATGAATTGGCCCAAACCCCATCAGCCTTTCCAGAGCCATGAACAGTGGGAAAGGAGTGGTTCTTACAAGGAAAATAACTGCCTAGACAAAAACGTGCTAATTGCCAATATCTACTGAAATCATGCTTCTATCCATTTTGTCCACAAATGGTGCCTGACATGCCATATGTGCTCACTGGACAAAGCCAGGTGATGGAGACAGAGGGATGAATAAAACACAGCCATTCAGGAGGAGTCTAATGGGAAACACCAAGAAGCAAATAAGCAATATAATGTGGAAGTGGACTGGGCACGGTGGCTCATGCCTGTAATCCCAGCACTTTGGGAGGCCAAGGCGGGAGGATCACTTGAGGTCAAGAGTTCGAGACCAGCCTGGTCAACCATGGCCAACATGGTTAAACCCCATCTCTACTAAAAATACAAAAAAAAAAATTAGCTGGGTGCGGTGGTGGGGACCTGTAACCCCAGCTACTCTGAGGGCTGAGGCAGGAGAATCGCTTAAACCCGGGAGGAGGTGGTTGCAGTGAGCTGAGATGGAGCAACTCCACTCCAGCCTGGGCAACAGAGGAAGACTCCATCTCAAAATAATAATATAATAATAATAATAACGTGGAAGTGGCCAGGAGCGGTGGCTCACGCCTGTAATCCCAGCACTTTGGGAGGCCAAGGCAGGTGGATCACCTGAGGTCGGGAGTTCGAGACCAGCCTGACCAACATGGAGAAACCCCATGTCTACTAAAAATACAAAATTAGCCAGGCATGGTGGTGCATGCCTGTAATCCCAGCTACTCGGGAGGCTGAGGCAGGAGAATCACTTGAACACAGGAGGCAGAGCTTGCAGTGAGCTGAGATCATGCCATTGCACTCCAGCCTGGGCAACAAGAGCAAAACTCCGTCTCACAAAATAATAATAATGTGGAAGTGCTGGGAAGAGAAGGGCATGGCAGGGACACTGGGGAAGGGCAGTTAGCTCCGCTTTGATGGGGATTTGGTGGAAAGCACTTGGATCAGTGCACAGATAGTGCATTGGGAGGATCTAGATTGAATCTGAATAGCCAAAAGTCACCCGGCTCTGCACGGTTTCTCAGCTACCCGCCCTGAGGATACCATGGCCTTTCCCTTCTTCTGGGAATGCAGGAAGCAACCAGACAACACCAGCCTGGAGAGCCTGTCCCCTGGGAAGAACGGTCTGGTCTGTGCGGGGCTGGAAGTCTGCTGCTCCTTCACTCTGGATCCTGACTCCCTCCCTCCACACATGGGGAGCAGGACTTCCCTTCACTTTCTGCAGAGGTGGTCCTGCCCATGGGGCCAGCCTATGTGCTAGTACTGGGTTTCTCAATTGTGGCACCATTGACATTTGGGCCTGATGGCTTTGTTGTGGGAAGCCATCCGGTGCATAGAAGATGTTTAACAGCATCCCTGGCCTCTACCCACCTCACACCCCACCCCTGCCGATTCGTGACAGCCTCTCAGACGTTGCCAAATGTCCTCTTGAAAGGTAAAATGGACCCCAGTAGCGAGCCACTGCTCTAATGCATTCCCTCCCCACCCACTTCTCCCTCGTTTCTCCCCTACTCAAGATCCCAGCATTCACAAGGAAGGAGCCTCTTCTCCCTAAGGAGACATTTCTCGATACTTCCTATATTCATCCAAGTGACACTCCCCAAGCCAAGGGTTCTAGAACTACAGGCTGAGGTCTCTACCCTGATCCTCCTCTTCTTCTCTGAGGTCTCTACCCCGATTCTTCTCCTCTTCAACTACCTCAGTTGACTGCATGAGCTGAGTGTGAAAAAGAGAATTGACTGCCCCAACCCCCCAGTCCCTCCTGCACCCCACAGACCTCCTGAGGAGCTGCCACTGCTTGGAGGAAGGCAGAGATGCTGATAATCCTAAGACAGGAGCGATGGGCTATGTGCAGTAAGGAGTGGCCCTGTGTGTGTGCTACAGTGAGGAGCGTCAGAGTGATCCACATGAGAAAATGACAAGTGAGAGGAGCCTGGGGACTTCCAAGCAACCTCCCTTGGTGCCTGGGGGAGGGATGCCAGGCCCTGAGATGACAGGGTAAAACTTTATTTCCTCCTTCCTGTCCTGTTCCTGTGCCAGCCATCGCAGAGCCCCTTGAAACAGCAACTTCATGGTAATTGATAGTGCCCAGATAATATTCTCCGGACAGGTGCCAGGGATGCAGTCACAGAGCTCAATAGCTTTTCTAGAGAGAATATGAGTTGATATCTATCAGTCCCCAACTGGTAAGTCTTCAAGGGACTGCTTGGAGGAGGTGGTATTCTTCTCAGTAGCATAAATCTGCCAGGGACAGGAAGTGTGTGTGTGTGTGTAACACATTACAAATATCAAGGATAATGTATAGCACAGGCTTCAAGGAGATGCACGCAGGTGTAAAGGCACCAGGTGCGAGGATGCATGCAGGTGCAAAGACACGAGGTATAACTGAAGGTGTAACACAGAGTGTGAGGACTAGAGACACTGGGGGCAGGTTGGCGGCGGGGCGGGGGCGGTGGGTGATGCATCATGTGTAATTAGTAGAAATGTTGGAACAATGGAACATGCAGAGCAAAGATGTGTGTGCAGGAGCTGCAGCAAATACCGCAGCAAGTACTGAGTGGAGGTTTCTTACTCACTCTCATATTCACACCTGTGTTTCTCTGTACCAGGGAGAGACGGGAGGATCGGGTAGAATAATACTCAGCATGTGACATTCACTGTGTCACAGTCTATCTTCTGCTGTTACAACAAAATACCACAGACTGCATAATTTATGTAGAAAAGATGTTTATTTGGCTCGTGGTTCTAGAAGCTGGGAAGTCCAAGAGCATGGCACTGGCATCTGGTGAGGGTCATCCTCTGGTGGAAAGTATCACATGGCATCTATGCCCATCATAAGAGACAGAGAGAAAAGAGGCCAAACTTATCCTTTTCTCAGGAGCTCACTCCTGCAATAACAGCATCAGTCCACTCATGAGTGCAGAGTCCTCCTGGCTAATCACCTCTTAAATGTCCCACTTCTTAATACCATTATAACGACCATTAAGTTTCCAATACATGAACTTATGAGGGACACATTCAAGCCATAGCATTATATGTATAAGAGCACAGCTTGGCCAGGCATGGTGGCTCACGCCTGTAATCCTAGCACTTTGGGAGGCCAAGGCGGGCAGATCACCGGAGGTTGGGAGTTCGAGACCAACCTAACATGGAAAACCCCATCTCTACTAAAAATACAAAATTAGCCGGTCATGGTAGCACATGCCTATAATCCCAGCTACTCGGGAGGCAGGAGCTACTCAAGGCAGGAGAATCACTTGAACCCAGGAGGTGGAGGTTGGGGTGAACTGAGATCGCGCCATTGCACTCCAGCCTGGACAACAAGAGTGAAACTCCGTCTCAAAAAAAAAAAAAAAAGAGAGAGAGAGAAGAGTACAACTCAAGGACCACTTTAATCACTCTCTTTTTTTGACCTCCTAAGACAGAACACATGCCAGTCTACATTCCTGAGAGGATATATGGTGAAATGGTTTTTAGCATGAGCTTTAGAATCAATGATTTGAGTTTAAACCCTGCTCCACCATGTACTTGCTACAAGTCTTAGACAAATCTTAAACCTCCCTATGACCCAGTTTTCTCATCAGCAACATGGGGAGAAGGAAAGCTACCTACCGCTTGTGGTGGTTATGGCAATTACAGAAGATCCAGGAGTAAACACATAAAGGGGCACATTCCCAAATGTCAGCTCTGTGCTAACTGGAGGAGAGCAGAAATGACATCCTATTGCATCATCTCAAAGAGTCCTGCAGGACAGAGAAGCTGGGCTCTTCCAAAGGCTTGCTGTATCCCAAGGACAGAATCCTTGCTGGGAAGGCACCTTTTCCCCTCTTTGCAACCCCACCTCTCTAAGCCCTTGCATTCACCTCCAGTGAACCTGACAGAGGGAAAGAGCTAGGGCAATATGAATGAGATTCACTTCCAGAGGCACATCCCATGGACAAAAAAGCATGGGGGGCAACAGGATGGAAACACAGTTGAAGCCATTCCATACCCAGATAGATGCAGGCCCTGAGAACCTAGGGAGGCAGGCAAGCCCATCCCTGCCAGGGACTCCACGAGCCCTACCGGCTGCTTCCAGTCCTCACCCCAGGATCCCTCTCCTGGGGTTCAAACCCTGGCTGGGCACGGTGACTCACCTATAATCCCAGAACTTTCAGAAGCCAAGGCGGGCGTATCACAAGGTCCGGAGATCGAGACCATCCTGGCTAACACGGTGAAATCCAGTCTCTACTAAAAATACAAAAAAAAAAAAAAAAAAAGCCGGGAGCGGGGTGGACACCTGTAGTCCCAGCTACTCAGGAGGCTGAGGCCGGAGAATGGCGTGAACCCGGGAGGTAGAGTTTGCAGTAAGCCAAGATTGCACCACTGCACTCTAGCCTGGGCAACAGAGCGAGACTCCATCTCAAAACAAACAAACAAACAAAAACAAAAAAACCCACCTGCACTCAGGGGTGTGCTGGAACTCACCCATAAGACTGATATTTGTGTCTCTTCCCAGCCCCATGTTCAGTGACATCACACTGGTAGCTTGAAATCAGCCAAGGTGGAAGCATTTACACCAGGAAAATTGGCAAATTTCTATGAGACTGGCAGAGCTGGGGGTAGATACAAAAGAGAATAAAAACATCAAAGAGCCGTTGGGAGAAGAGAAGAGAAAGGATGGCCATGGGTTAAAGTGTTCTCTGTTGACCTCAGAAATATGGGGACTTTGACACCCAAGGCTCAAGAACTCAGGCCTGGATGGGCGTGGGGGCTCACGCCTGTAATCCTAGCACTTTGGGAGGCCTAGGCGGTTGGATCACTTGAGGTCAGCAGTTCGAAACCAGCCTGGCCAACATGGGGAAACACCGTCTCTACTAAAAAAAAAAAAAAAATACAAAAATTAGCTGGGCATGGTTGCAGGTGCCTGTAATCCCAGCTACTTGGGAGGCTGAGGCAGGAGAATCGCTTGAACCTGGGAGGCAGAGGTCGCAGTGAGCCGACATCATGCCACTGCACTCCAGCCTAAGCAACAGAGCAAGACTTCGTCTCCAAAAAAAAAAAAAAAAGGACTCAGGCCTGGCACCATGAAAAACACAATCAGACAAAAAGCCAAAATACCCTCAAAAACTGTGGGAGAAGCGGCGAGAGAACGTTTTCTGCGTTCTTCCACTCTGCCGGGGTGTCGGGCCAGGTCACAGCAGCCTGTCTGGGACACAGTGGGGACGCAGATACCCTTCTTCACACCTGGGGTGCTCAGCTCCCCACTACCCAGTAGTGCTGAGTGCTGACACCACGCACCACCCTCCGCAAGGGAACTGCCTGGGGCACAGTCACACCCCTTCCCAGAGAAAGCCCACATCCAATGCCTGGTCCGCAGCAGAGCGTAGAGGCCAGGATTTGACTGTGACAAGGAGCTGACTCCAAAGGCTGAGACTGATTCTTCAGCATCACCTCTTCCACTAAAGGTCAGTCTTCCACCAAAGCAGTCAGGCAAAGGCCTGGCTGCTTGTGGCATCTCTGAAGAGTTGTCCCAGCTCCAGAGCTCACCATGGGATTGGCTGAGGCCACTATCACTACATCATCACAGCTCAATGTCTCCCTCTGCCCATCCCTGCACCCCTCACTCTTTCCCTCCCAAGCATTGTTCCCGCTGTCTCTAAAAAACCTCCCGCATGCAACTCTCCAGCTCGAAGTCTGTCTCCTGGGAAACCCAAGACACAGACACCCTCTACCCCACTCCTGTAAGAAGGGAAAATGATGTTGACTGGAGATTGTGCTGCAGAGACCCCCTGCCCAGGAGACCTAACGCCCTCCCCACTCCCACACCATGTCATTCTCTGTAATGGCAGAGGGGTGGGGGTGCGAGTTGTAATATGCTGGGTACCTGCAGACAGCTGATGCAAGATGCTTCCTCAGAACAGGTGCAACACAGTGTGTTTTGCTGGGGAAAAGGGATGTCAAGCAATCTATGATGGGGGTGCAGGGAGTCTGGGGAGGAAACAGAATGAAGAGTGTGTGTGTGTGTGTGTGTGTGTGTGTGTGTGTGTATGTGTGTGTGTGTGTGTGAGAGAGAGAGAGCTGGTGTTTGTGTTCCAGGCTATAGCAAGGGGAGGGAGACAAAAGAATAAAACCTGCTTGTTGGCTGAGTGCAACATGCCTGTAATCCCAGCACTTTGGGAGGCCGAGGCAGGCAGATCACCTGAGGTCAGGAGTTTGAGACCAGCCTGCCAACATGGTGAAACCCTGCCTCTACTAAAAATACAAAAATTAGCCGGGCATGGTGGCACGTGCCTGTAATCCCAGCTACTCGGGAGGCTGAGGCAGAAGAATCTCTTGAACCTGGGAGGTGGAGGTTGCAGTGAGATTGCACCATTGCACTCCAGCCTGGGCAACAGAGCAAGACTCTGTTAAAACAAAAAACAAAAAAACCCTGCTCGTTGGATGTAGCAACACACAGGACCTCTGCAGCAAGAGTCACCTGTGCTGTTGTCTATGCAGAGATGTGAGCATGCAGATACACACATCCTTTCTACCTCCAGGCACTAAACACATGCTGTCCCAAACATGCACCCACCTTCTAGGTCCTGGTTCTTGGGTGAGGAGGGGAAGAACTGAGCCCGACTGACCTTTAATGGAAGAAGTGATGCTGAAGAATCAGTCTCAGCCCTTGCAGTCAGCTCCTTCTCACAGTCAAATCTTCTGCACACTCAAATCCTTTACACAGTCAAAGCCTCTACGCGCTGCTGCTCACCTTTCCATAACCCGTCAGAGTTCACAACGTGCATTTGTTCATTCCTCAAATACTGACTGGGAGTCTGAGATGTACGCTCATTGTACCAGGTGCCAGACTCGCATGCAGCCCGTCTCCTGACTTCAAGCTCATGCTGGCTCCACCTGACCTCATCATGTGTTCTAAAGGGACAAGCCAGGGATCCTGGATGCAAGAACTGGTTGGCCTCAGCCTCAGCAAATGAATTCATCCCATTTGCCATCTTTCTGGCTCAGAAACTCCATTTATGATCTGCGCCCCAGCTCAGTCTCCTCCAGAGGAGGCTGCACAGATGGCGAGCTTCCCCACCACCTGGAAGAAGGGAGTTCCTGGCCACCCTGCCAGTGGGAGGACTTTGCTGAACAAACTCCAGGCAGTGGACCGTGTCCACACTGCGTGCTTCTAAGTGGAGGCCAATTTGCTTCTTACCTCCTCCAGCCATTCCCCTGCCCAATCTGGACGCTCACTGAGAGCACACAGGCGAACCTTGCCCCACCTTGGGGGCAACCGTGTTACTTGTCAACTTGCTGACTGGAAATTAGTTTCTCTTCTGAGGTGCTGGAGCGGAGCATGGGCATTGACTTTTACTGACTGAGAGTATGTGCTCAGTCAGAATAAGGGAAGTACTCCTGATTACCTTTTAAATTAATCCAGAATTTCACTAAATACTCAGAGGCGAGACCTGCGTATGCCACTGGAGTCTTCCATCTTCCCAGGGCTGTGGCACGGTTCTGTGACATCTGCCACTCAGCAGCCTGGATTTTTTTTTTTTAGACAGAGTCTCACTCTGTCACCCAGGCTGGAGTGCAGTGGCACAATCTCGGCTCACTGCAACCTCCGCCTCCTGGGCTCAATCAAGCCATCCTCTTACTTGAGTTGCCCATCACCACGCCCAGCTAAATTTTTTGTTTTTTGAGATGGAGTCTCGCTCTGTCACTGAGGCTGGAGTACAGTGGCATGATCTTGGCTCACTGCAACTGCCACCTCCTGGGTTCAAGTGATTTTCCTGCCTCAGCCTCCTGAGTAGCTGGGATTTCAGGTGCCCACCACCATGCCTGGCTAATTTTTGTATTTTTCATAGAGACGGAGTTTCACCACGTTGGCCAGGCTGGTCTCGAACTCCTGACCTCAAGTGATCTGCCCACCTCAGCCTCCCAAAGTGCTGAGATTACAGGTGTGAGCCACTGCGCCCTGCAATTTTTTGTATTTTTTGTAGAGACAGCCTCACTATGTTGCCCAGGCTGGTCTCAAACTCCTCAGCTCAAGTGACCCGCCCTCCTCAGCATCCCAAAGTGCTGGGATTACAGGCCTGAGCCACCACGCCTGGCCTGAAGCCTGGATTTTAGTGCCAGGCAGGCCTGGGTCTGGATCCCCCAGATTCCTTAACTTTTAAGGCTGGAATGAATACTGGATGTGGGAAGTGCAACCTTGGCACACGGTATAGTGTGAGTGCCCCATCAGTGCACAGTGGAGAGTAAGTGCTCAGTCAGCCGCCACTCATTACATTATTGCCTCATTGCTGCCCTGGAGAGAAGCCCCTGGTTACAGAAGTGATCAAACCCATTAAATGCCCACTCCATCAAGTCCCATCCTTTGGCCCATGGCTCATGTCAGAGGGCAGGCTAATCTCTAAAGTCCACCCACTGCTTTAAGGCCTGCCAAATGCAAGAGTCTCTTGGATCATGATAAAATGGAAACAGAAAACACCAAGAGACAGAGGTCAGGTAAAGGGCTCCGCTTGCCCATGAACCCCTGCCATTCCATGCAGGTGCAGGTCTTTGGCCTTCCAGGAAATTCTGGTCCTTGAGCTGGATGATGGGGTGGACAGCAGCCACCTGCAGCTGAGTTCTTGCAGGGACATCATAGGAGTTGTTTAGAAGGATAAACAGGAGAATGTGTCCATCCTGATTTTGGATCGGGACAGAAATTATGACCCATAGTGACATCAAACCTAGATTGATTTTACCTCACTTGGAATATACCAAGTTTCTCTCCTATCTTTGTTCTCCTTTATGGAGACTTTTACTGTAAAAATGTTAAGTGATATGAAATATAAGCTCTATAAATATATTTGGAACTCAAGCCATATGGCTCAACAGGAAAGAGATAGCTGTTTGCTGGGCTCTTTGGTTATAAAGCTACTCAAAGCCCCCATATCAGAAGTTAAAAGATAGGAAGTCAATAGAGCATCCTAAGCAATTCAGTGCACATTTTTAGGCAACTTACTAATTGTTGTTGTTGTTCAGCCACGGTTCATTGAGTATATTCCATGTGAGACACTGTAAGTGAGATGAGGGTTGAGTAAAATATTGAATACAGGACATTTTATATTATTATTTACCAGTTGTGTTAGTCCATTTGCACTGCTATAAAGAAATACCCGACCAGGCGTGGTGGCTCATGCCTGTAATCCCAGCACTTTGGGAGGCTGAGGCAGGCAGATCACAAGGTCAAGAGATACAGACCAACCTGGCCAACATAATGAAACCCCATCTCTACTAAAAATACAAAAATTAGCTGGGTGTGGTGGCATGTGCCTGTAGTCTCAGCTACTTGGGAGGCTGAGGCAGGAGACTCGCTTGAACCCGGGAGGTGGAGGTTGCAGTGAGCCGAGATCACACCACTCTACTCCAGGTTGGTGACAGAGCGAGATTCTGTAGGAAAAAAAACCAAAAAACAAACAAACAAAAAAACCCTGGGTAATTTATAAAGAAAAGAGGCTTACTTGGCTAACAGTTCTGCAGGCTGTACAAGCAGCATTATGCTGGCATCTGCTTGGCTTCTGGTGAGACCTCAGGAAGCTTTCAATCATGGCAGAAGGCAAATGGGGAGCTGGCATATCAC